CGCGGCTGCGGGGGTTGAGCGGGCGCATGCCGGGTCGCTTCACGCGCGGGCGAGCTTGCCGGCACGACGGGAGCCGGCTGGCTGCGGGACGGTGCGAGTGTGGTTGTGCCGACAGCCCCTCGCTGCTAGCGGAGGCATCTGTGTTGCTGAGCCCCCTTTCGGCCCAGCCGCCCTGCACATTCTTTGGGCCCACCTGATCGTAGATTTGGAGTGTGCCTGCTTTTCTACGAGATAGCATTTGCAGTTGAGCGATTTCAATCAGCAGCTTTTTAGGCAGGCAGAAAGGTGCACGCAGCAGGAGTGCGGCCATCATCTCATCTTTGAGCTCAAAGGTGCGCTTGACCAACATTACGTGTGTCAAAGGCTGGTCTTACCAACGCGTAGCCATTTCATTCGCCAGCCCGCCGAGCGTCCGCAACACCTGAATGTTACAGAGTAGTAGACATGTGCAATAGGTTGACGCATTGCCACATCGGACAAGGCATTGCAACTCACTGAGTAGAAAGCCAAATTATGGCTGTGAGGCAGGCTTTAGACGTCTTGGTGGCGACAAGGTGCGCAGCCACTGGGTTCTATCTCCCTGACGCCTCCCTTGCCCGCTCGGCGCCTTGTCAGTACGGGTAGGTCCAGAGCTCAGGTGGGGAGGACACCCGCAGAGCTACCCCAATCGATAGCCTGTAGTAAAATATGCATGCTGTGCTGTAGTGTCATCATCATGGTGGATGGTCGATAGGCAGCCAGCCACACACTTCAAGCGCAAAACCATGCGGCGGAAGTTTGACAGCGCGATGCGAGGCCGGTGTGCTTGCGGAAAACCAGGCCTCTGACCGGTCCGCTCCATCATAAGAGATGCGCTTTTGACAGTCAAGAACCCACAACATTTCTGCTGACCCGGCGACATCGCGCAACAGCCCAACAAAATGGTCCGTGGACTACACGCCGTGGCCGCTGTCCTGGTAGTGGCATGTCTGGGTCAAGCACATGGATTCAGCTTTCCTGGTGAGCACTCGCCACCATTCACAAATCCCGGACGGTTTGCTTGCACTTGCGTCAGTCGACCTGCAGGGCGCGGGCCGGATTGCGCTGATCCGGGCTCAGCGCCACAAAATGTAAACTCAAATACACGATAAGTGCATCGAGGCTGCGCACGCTCTGCAGCGGCTTGGACGACATGCGTTGCGACGTGCAGCACTGTTGCGCGCAAGCTACTGCCCTTCCGCGCGCACGCTGTCCCTCCTGCACGCTCGCTGCAGTCCCACGCAGCCCCCCCAACCCTGACCCGCTCTATCTACGCATCGTGCAGCACTGGCGCTGCCCAACATCCCGGCGCCAAACGCGTCGGCGATCCTGGAGGGCGTGCGGAACTCCATCCACTCGACAGCGCAGGCTGCGGTGATGGAGCACCTTGCCTACAAGCCCATCATGTGCCCGAACAACAGGCCCTTTGTGGTGGGTGATGACTAGCACATGCGGAATACAGGCTGCTTCGCACCTACCCAGGGATGTGTGGCGGAACGCGCGGCAGCGCACCAAAACCTTGCAGCATCAACAACGACAGCACCTGATGGGCGGCGCTCAAGCGCGGCGCCCAAGTCGAGCTTCCCGGCATCACAAACTCCACAACCTACGCGGTATTGCTGCGCAGATCTGCCACTGGGACGTGTGCAAGACAGGCACCCCCTGCCAGAACAACCAGGTCTGCGTGCCGGACTACTGCGGCCGCTGCGGCGCCAAGTGAGCGCGGGAATCGCGCAAGCCGGGGGTTGGGAGAAGCGAGGGAGACTCTGCAGCTGGGTGTACAGGTCAACCAGCTGCTGTGCAGCGGGAGCCTCAGCAAAAAACGGCCTGTGTGTACAGTGTCTGCATGATAGCAGGGGCTGCTCCTGATCCCCAACTACACATCTGATGAACCTGGCCCGCGCTCGCGCCACCGCCACGCGCCTCACACAGGTGCCTGGACATTGCCTTGCCACCCATTGAGCTCAAGATACCCCAGCTGCCCAAGTTCTTGGACGGGGAGATCCCCCCGCTGCCCAGGCCAGATGTGCGCTTGCACCACTGCACTAGGGCAACACGCGCACGCAACCACCCGCGCGGCCAGTCCCGCACCCGCCGCTTGAAGCTCTGAGAGTTCGCCTTACAATACCAATACTTCACCTTACAATGGTTGCCTTTGGATGCGGCATCGAGCTGCTACTGGGCGGCGGCAAGCGCAATCGCCTGTGATGCACCGCTACAGCGTGAGCTCAGGCAATCGGCCCCCCCCTGCCCCCTTGCGCATATGCCTCTTGTCTTGCAGGCCCCCTGCGGCCTGAACCAGGCCATCAACCTCGCGGCGACGGCGTCCAGTGTGCTGTCCAAGGAGCTCAAGGTGGCCTGCAAGGACTGCCCCGAGGTGGGAAGGGGGGGTTGCACGCGCCACGAATAGCTATTGGGGATTGAGTTTGAGTGTGTCGCAGCAGCTTTGTCGCAGTGGCTACACACCTGCAGCGGCAGCAGCGCGCGCATGGGGTGCAAGGAGCGACGTGGCTTTCGCAAGGAGGACTCCAACCCTCTTGTGTTTCTGGCCGCCAAGAACACGGCGTTGCAGCAAGCACAATGCAGTTGAACGCGGAGAGACCAGAACACCAATAACTTTTCCCGGCTCCCCCTGTCACAATCAGGGCACCGTCTCCAACGGCCACGCCGTGACCTGCACGGTCTGCCCGCCCGGTACATACTCCAGCCGGGCCGAGGGCAAGTGCAAGAAGTGCGAACCGGGCACCTACAGCCTCGACCTTGGGGCCAAGGATTGCAAGGTGCGGCCAGCAGTGCCTGCTGACTCGCCCACGCTGCATGCAAAGCCGGCACCAACAGCACTGATTTAGGGGTTCCAAAGGGCCGGCTGATGTCGAGCTTTGAGAAGGTGGTGTGGTGTGTTGTCAGCTGCTGAGTTTAGGGTCGACCAGGCAGTCCTGCTGTCAACCAGTGCCGGTGAGCTGGAAGCCTAACGGCGCCCCCTTTCCCGGCTCACCCCCCTCCTCCCTTGCATCATGGCGGACCGCAGCCATGCGGCAAGGGCACCTTCGCGCCCATCTGGGGCTCGTTGGTGTGCGTACCGGTGAGCACAGGCACAGGCGCGGCCGGGCCGCGCGAGCGTCGTTGGCGGCATTATGGGACAATAATACCCGCCACGTATACGTTGCCTGCTTGCAATCAAACATGAAGCTCGCTGCTTATCACCCGCCTGCAAACATGCGGCCCTGCAGTCGACGTTCGGTGTGTCCCTGACTCGCACCGACTGCGCCCCTACGCCCCCGCCCCCTCTGCAGTGCCCCCTGGGCTTCTCCGCGCCTGAGGCCGGCGCCAGGTCCTGCAAATGGTCGGCTTTTAACATCACCAAGGGATGAGCGCGGTGGTGGCCGCGCCCCAGAGAACCGTGTCGTTTGTGACAGACCCAAACTAAACTTTGTATTGACTTCAACTCGAGAGGCATAGGCAGGTGTGTAACAGATCCTATTGTTGGGTGCCTTTGCTCTGTAAACCTTTCTTGATCATTCCTCAGCTGAACTCGTTCCACTGGAGTGCTCTCGATTTGCTGGGGGCCAAGCGGAACAGGAAGCGCCCTTTATTGCAGCAGCTGCTGTGGCAGGGCATAGGGCTCGCACCAGCCTCAGCAATATCACACCAGCTGGTGGTTGTTTGAAATGTTGAATGCAAAGCATGTCGAACCAGGTCGACTGCGCTTGCAACGGGGAGGCATGACGGCACGGGCAGGACTGATGCTGATAGGGCAGCGGGCGCCGTGAGGCGTCATCCACGGAGGGAAACATTGTTTGCACGGTGCGTATAGTGCTTGGGTTCCGGTACATGAGTGTTTTGAGCAGGGGGGTGCGCACAGCCCCCGCTTTGCGGCAGAATGATGGTGAGCACACCGAACCAAAGCCTTGGGCACAGGAATCCCGCCGACACCTAGTGTGCGGGACAGCCCACCCAGAGCATCGTGGTGACAACTGTTGCTTCTTAGTTGTTCTTCATGCTGTATTATGTGCGCACAGACCTAGTGCTACTATGACCGCACTTCTACAGCGGCCTCTTGGCCCATTGGGCAGCTAGCGGTGGGTTTCCCTGCCTGTCCGTTCGCGCTGCCCCACGCTGGGCTTGGCTGGGTTTCATCGCAATTGCTTCCTGTATCATACAGTTGACGCTATCGTAGATGTAGACACAACATAGCACGCTCAGTCAGACAGGTCCCAGCCTGATCATTTTCGTTTACCAGTACAATATGTCATGACGAACAATGTCCGAGAGGTCGATGATGAGAAGCATCAATATGGCGGCCTGAAACCCACCATAGTTATATAGTATCTATCACTGGCTATGATGGCGGAGATTCAGATCACTCCCTGGATCAAGTATTAGTTGTGCAGGATGCAGAGCGCGGCTCAAGAGCTGCGCACACCCCCGCTGCCGCTGGTGGCGCTGGTCGGCCATCCGGAGGTGCATCGGGAGCTGGGCGTCTGGGCGTCCCAAGTGCTGCGCCCGCCGCTTGTCGCCATCGCAGTAGCCGAGGCAAACGACACCGTCTTGGCACGCCTGTTTGGTGAGCGCACGGAGCATGGCCGAAGGGTTGTGACGCACTTATTGAGACATCAACCAGAGTCACTGCAACCAGCAGCTCGCTTTGTCAAATTCGTCGTGCGTCGGATGGGCGTCGCGACACACCTGCCCAACCGCGCCTTACTCCAATCAGCGCGCCCCCCGCCGAGCAGGCGCGAAGAAGGAACCCAAGCCCTTTGCCGCGCCAGATGGCATACTGAAGGCGGACTGGTTCCTGAAGCAGCGGCAGCGGCGCGCGGCGGTCGCGCTGGCGTTCGTCGACCGGTGCGCAGGCACGGGAGCGGGGCACGGGCAGCACGCCGTTGGGGTATGACGCTTTGAGACGTCAACGGGAAGTTGGCGGTCCCTATCTTGATCCCAATCTCCCAAAGTCGACAACCTGTAGCACGGCAGCAGGCGCGGCAGCGGCGAGCTCAGCAACAGCAGCAGCAGCAGCAGCAGCAGCAGCAGCAGCACCAGCAGCAGCAGCTGGGGCAGCTAAAGCGGCGCTGCAGCAGGAGCAGCACCAGCAGCAGGAGCAGCACCAGGAGCAGCCAGGGAGCAGGCTGGGCAGGCGTAAACGGCCACCTCGCACTCCCTTTGTGCCTCTCTAGCGCTCTCGGCAATGCCACGAAAAACCTCCCCTCACTCGGCAGCGGCCCCCTCCAAATCCTCCCAAAGACAGCAACACATTCTTTCAAATAATCTTCCTCTCCACAATGAAGCCCTCTCCCTCCGCTGCGCCCTCGTCCCTACAAAAATAACCAACCGTTTTATCCCGCATAACAGGTCCGAGGTGGATGGGGACCCGACCAGCTGGATGCGCATGCTGGCGCGCCTCAAGGCCGTGCGCGAGGCCAGCAGCCACCGCGGCGCGGGCATGATCGTGGCGGTGCTGCACGAAGGCGCGGGGCCGCCGCCGCCGCTGCCGCCCGACCGCATCACGGGGCTGTGCAACAACCTCGGGCTGGAGCCAAAGTGGGTGGTGGGGTGCTGTGGGCGCGCAAGGGGTTGGGGCGGGTGTCGTGGTGTCGTCCCCACAGCCTGGGTGCGGAGGGCGCACGGCCCTCGTGCATTCGCCATAAGCAGCAGGCGCGTGCGAGCTGGCGCACATGCAGGAGCGGTCGCACACGCGTGCAGCCTCTCGGCGGCGCGTCTGCTGCCACTAGCGGGGTGCAGCTGGCGCCTGCAGCTCGTGCGCCCCCACCTTGTCAGCAAGACTGACTGTTCCTATCACCGCACAACTTCAATGTTCCCCGGGAAGAAATACGCACCCACGCCCCCTACTCATCCACACCTGCATACAGACAAACCCAAAGACTGACACGCATACTCACACAACTCTACACCCCCAGGGCGCTCTACCCCCTCAGTCGCGGTGTCCTGGCCACCCCAGACCGGCGTCAGCTGGAGCAGGCGCTTGCCCCCTTAGGCCGCCTGCTGCTGGAGGCCGCCGCCACCTACTACTCGCTGCAGGCCACCAGGATACGCCAGCGCAGGATAGACCTGACCGCCGCCCTCGGCTCCTGCCCGCCCGAGGCCGGCGTCGCTTCGGCGTTCAAGGTGTGGGCTGTGACGCGAGGATGACGCCGGCGGCGCGGCCGCCGGGGCGGCCGCGCGGGTGCCAGCCAGGCGCCCCGGCGGGCGGGGCTGCCGGGCCGGGCGGCAGCCCTCGAGGCACCTGCTCAGCATCTGGCTTGCAGCACACCCCGCCCTCCATACAGGGCTACCCCGTTCAGCCAACAATTTCCCGGCACCGCCGCGCGCTCTGCCCCATCAAGCGCTCGCTTCCCCGGTCCCACCCTCTCAGCTGGCCGTGATGTCTGAGTTCCGCCAAGACTGGGTGGGGGCGGTCAGCCAGTACCAGACCGCGTACTCCGCACTCAAGGGCGTGCCGCTGGGCCGACCCCAGCCCAGCGTCCAGCGGCACACAGAGGTGCGCGCGCGCCGGCCCGCCACGACGCCTGCCCTGCCCATCGCATCCTCTCGGGCGCCCCGCCCGCGGCAGCCGACGTGCATTCCCGGGGCTTGCGCTCACGCGGGTTTCTGCGTGTGCATCCCTACGCATGCGCGCAGGTGACGCGCTGTGCGGAGGTGATCCACTTCAAGGCCATGATGCTGCTGCTGCACCAGGGCCGCGCGGCGGAGGCCCTTGCTCAATTCAGGGACCACCTGGAGACGTTCGGCCCGCTGCCACGTGAGTTGCCACACACACGTGCGCGCGTGTGCACACACACACACAAACACAAACACACGGCCACCACCCAACTCAACTCTGTCCAGCCCCATCTCTCCTTGGCTCCCGCTCAGCTTGCATGCAGTCTCGCTGAGTCCAGGCCCTTCTGTTATCAGCACTGACATTTGCATGAAGTTTGTTGTTTCAAACCATCCCAGGCTCTCCTTTCGGCCAATTTCAATAGGCTCACTGCGCGGCTCGTAATCACACGCGCACCGCCGCCCTTCCCCCCCGCCATGCGCAGCCAGCTTCTCGCCGGCTGCCGCCGCGTCGCACTACGGCTGGCTTGCCCGGCAGTACCAGACCGCGAGCGAGATGGTGGCGGGCCGCGTCGACGAGGCGACGCTGCGCGCGCACCCGGACTGCAGTCCGCGGCTGCTGCAGATGGCCGCCGCGCAGCTCGCGGTGCGGCGAAAAGCAGCGGCGGCGGCCGCGGCGGCGGCGCGGCTGGGGGCGGGGCGGGCGGCGGGGGTTGACCCGGGGGCCGTGAAGAAGGGGCCCTTCCTCGGACAAATGGTGCTGCGGTTGGACGGCGGCACTGGGCAGAGGTGCGGCCCAGGCGGGGCGACCGGAGTGCGCTTTTAAAAAGCAGTGGGTTCGATCTCGATCACAAATGTCTCTTTGCCCAGCAACATGGCTAATGTTCTGGAAGCAGCTTTATGAAAGGCCTGCACTTGTCAGCGATGAACATCTCGCCCCGGCCTTGTCACAACGCGCTCTGGCCAACCTCCCCTTGGAAACCCTGCCGCTTGAACCCCGCCCCCTGAACCCCTTCCTTCCCAGGGACTTGTCAGACGCGGAGTTTGCAGAGTGGCTGGAGGCGGAGGAGGGCCGCGTCCCGCACGACCAGGCGGCGCTGGACGCGCTGACGTCATGCATGGCGGCGCTGCAGGACGGCCGCCACGAGCGCGGGCGCGCGCAGCTGGCGGCGATGGCGGCGCACCAGCACCTGGAGCTGTCAAACCTGACAGCTGCGCGGCGGCTGCTCATACAGGTGCGGGGTTGGGCCTGGCCGGAGCCGCCCAGTGGTTTACTTGCTAGTACCACATAGGGAAGGGTCGGTCCGACTCTGACGGGGATCGAAGGGTGTTTGAGGATGGAAACCGGCTGGGCGGGTCCAAGGGCGGTTGTCGAACCGGGGGCTGCCCGCGTATGTGCAACAGGTCCAGGGTTCAAGGTTACTGCCGACCCTGGGCGGGGAGCTGCATCTTAGCTGCATCTCGCGGCGGCCACGCAGGTCACCCGACACACCCTCCGCCGCTCGCCCCGCGCCCCGCCCGTTTGCGTACCCGGCAGGCCACACACGCGTACCGCGCAGACGGCTGGCGCTCGCTGCTGCTGGCGTCCCTGCTGCAGCTGCGCGACTGCTGCCAGCGCCTGAAGCTGCACCGGGAGGCGCTGCTGCACTCCCTGGAGGCGTCGGCCCTGCCGCACAGCCTGGGGCGGGAGCAAGGGCAGGCGGTGGCGGCCGCGGCGCTGGCCAGCATGCTGGCGGGCGCGGGGGACCGGCGGTCTTCGATAC